CGGCACTTTCCCGCAGCCGCTGCCAACTCCAGGCCCCCGTGCCCGCAGCCGACCGGATGCAAAGCCAGCCGTCTCCGCGAGCCCAGCCCCGGACGGCGCCCGCTCACTTCGCGCCCCGACCCGTCGCGGCCCGGGCCGGGCGAACGGTGAAAGGCCGAGGCAGGGCGACCGCGAGCCGAGCGAGCCGAGCGAACAGGCTAGAATCCCCCGGCTCAATCTTCCCCCAGGTCTGTTTTAAAGTGGCGAGAAGCAGCGATCGCCCCCTCTCTCTTTCTCTCCTAGGACTATTGTTGCAATTCGCGTCTTACTGGGTTCTCTCACACCCCCGAGAGCCAAGAGGAGCGGGTTGGGAAAAGAAATAAAGCGAGCTCAGATCACATGGAAAAAAAAAAAAAAAAACCCAGCAAGGAAAAAGAGACACTTAAAGGGAAAGAGTCGCCATGTTTAGCAGCTTTTTTTAAAGATCTCGTCAATTTCACACAGAACGCACTCGCTGGGTCCCAGCCCTCGTCTTTTGTCCAATTCAATCTCAGCAAAGATCTTTTGTTCTAACTCAGCATGAAAAGAAAAACTTTCTTTAAACGCAATAAACTTAAACCGAACTCAAGACTCTAAACAGATCCTCCTCCGGCCACTCTAAATATATACAAGGGGTTTTGTTTTAACCGTTTGAAAAATGTTGGGTCCTAGTTTTCTGCCTCGCAGACCCCCACGCTCATTGCTGAAACTTACAGGCAGTGAGATTTCCAACGTCTAGCACATGCTTAAAGCATAATAAAACAGGGACTGTCTTTTGCTTTGAAAATCATAAATTATAATTTAATGCCAATAATAATTTACAACAAATGGCTGTTTACAATAAACTAACACAAAACAAACAAGGAAAAGGGCCTGTGTTTTACTTATTAGAGAAACTTCACACACTCACATGGATACCACTTGCAAGAGGGGAAAATAACAACCGACAAAACCTCGATCTAAAGGTCAGCAATATTCTGGCGTAAGAACATATTCATATTTATGTATGTATATATCTACAGAAAGAAGCTGAGGGCAAAATGGAAAACTGCTCAAATGCACAAATCAGACAGATTCTTCGGATCTACATATATTGACTAGAACTGAGTATCGAAGTTTAATAGTTTGCAAAACGATCCCTTTTCTTTCACCTCTCTCATTCCCCTCCCTTTTTAAATGAAACCACAACCCGGTGAGGTATGGGGAGGGGGCTGGAAAGGCTCAGTAAGAAAAAAATTGCAAATCTCCCACACATTGAGCTTCCTCCAAACCAGGAAAAGAGAAAGAGGGGGGAAAAAGGACTCTGAAACAATATAGTTACTACTTCCATATCAGCACACCCTGCAAAGTTTCCCTTTCCTTCTCTCTTTTTTCTTTCCTTCTTTCTCATAATTTGGCTTCTAAGGACAAAGGATCCCAAGAGCAGTACAGATTGTATCTATACAATCTGAAACGTCAAAATGTCGAAGTGTTTTTATGTACAGAACTCCAATGGAAAAGATTCCCTTGACCTGTGGTCATGCTCTTACAGACCGAAGGTAAAGGGGGGAGGGGAGAGGCAGACCAACTGCAAGTTATCATCTATACATGAAAAACAGACCCTTCAGTGCTATAAGCTATATCACTGGATTTGAAATTCTCTCAACAACCACGCTAGATGAGAACCACAGAGTATTTTAAAAATCACACCTAATTAAGGAAAAACTCATTGCAAACAACTGCTCTCTATTTACAATGCTTTGATTAGCTTGCTTGAACGATTTTCTGCGTAACTGTCAGAAATGTACAAAAGAGTATTTTTTTTCTGATCATAAAATAGATACTGATCTCAAGATTTCTAATACTTTTCACAATACCTTCCCTAAGCAGGCACTTAAGTGTGACAAATATAAGGGCCTTTTTTTTTTCTGGAAAATCCATTTTTAATTAAAAGAAGGATTAGGTGAATGGGGTGGTTTACTATATCAGTATGGCACTTCCTAAACCATAGATAAACCATTAACTTTACCTCCCCCCCGCCACACACACCCAAATTAAACAGGCAAATACACTAGTCCACCTTTGAACAAACTGAGGGGAGTAATTAAAGGGAGCCCCCCGCCAGCTCAGCGAGAAGTTCAGGGGCTCTTCTCCCTGGACAGACAGTGAGTGGGGACAGCCAAACAGGTTTCAGATATCAAATAATATTTTAATTTCTGAATACTTTCAATTTTCCTTGGAATATAACACACAAAGACTCGACCAAACAGTTCAGTTATTATAACTTTTACAGTATACAGAAATGTTGCACTTTAAAAAAAAAAAAACCTTCAGTTTTTTTAAAAACACAAACTGTAAACTCTAAGATACTGAATCAATCACGTTACCTATAAGTGCCAACAGTGTTATTTTGTCATGCTGATTTCAATGGTATTTTTTTTTTAAAAAGGGAAAATATCAACAATTATAATACAAAGGGTTTGCAAATATACAAACAGATAGAGGATGTTCATAACAATTCAAGAACTAAGCGGGACCCAATTCAAATTACAAAAGTTCGCTTTTTATTCAAAACCTCAGCATGTGTCCTGGACACATTCCTTGGCTGCCAATAAATTCCACAGTTCATTCTCTTTCTTAAAATATTTTTAAAAAGCTAGGTTTGCTGTGGTGTCTTGGTGCGGGGGGCAGGGTAGGGGAAGTTAACTGGTGTACGTGGTTCCTCCAGTTTTCTAATCAGAGTGCTCAACTTCACCTAAAATTGTTGCTCACCACTTCTAAGTGCGTTTCCATCAGCTTTGAGTTGCCTTTTAAAGTTTTATGTCTTCCTATGATATTTTCATGGACTCAGTTTTAATTCTTGCAGAACATATATTTTAAGGATACACAGTTTTTAAGAAGCCAAGATTATATCAAAACTTATTATAGAACCACAGAATAAACTGGTTTGGAACCAGAAAAGTACAAAAAAGAACAGCTAGAAGTACATAGACACAGGACAATTAATAATTTGGAAAAAAAAAAAAAAAAGACTTACTTTCTCCATTCTGCTAATTTTCTCCCAATCTCCTTAAATGCACTTTTAGCAATATTTTTCAAAAATTTACCAAAAAAAGAAAAAGACTAATTTCCTTTTTATACAAAAATGATAAGTAGCAAGTTGTTCTGACCGACACAGGAGTTGTTTTTTTTTTTTTTAATGCATTTTGTAAAAGTTCATTTGACAGTCATTTTTTTTTTGGAAATTCACAGTCCATTAAATTCTTCCCCTCTCTTCTTTTAGCAAACTTGTAACATCCTTTTATATCCTTTCTTAACAGAAGGAATTTAAGCAAACAAACCAGTCTTTTGCCTTTTCTTTCTCTTTCACTCCCCCTTCTTATTTTGATTTATTTATTTATTGAATTGCCATATACGGCCAGTTAAAACTGCTGCCGGACAGTAACATATCCCGGATGAGGGTTTCTATGGGGGTTTTACCTACCAAACGGACGAAAAACAATTGCTCTATGACTGAGGAGGAGACCGTGCGGAGGGAAGGGAGGCGAAGCAAAAGCTTTCCGAATCGCGTTGGCTGGTTGGGGTACTGGCTCCTAACGTATTCTTCCAAAGCACACTGGGACTTTTCCTGCAAGCTTTCCACATGGGCTACATCAGAGAGACCACAGGCATCTGGAAGAAAGTTTAAAAAAAAAAGGAAAAAAAAAAAAAAGAAGAATTCAGTCATCAGCTTAAGAGGTTTGAAATGGGTCACATGAGGTGTGTGCACAGCGCTCTGTCAAACTGCTCCAACCGAAGTTCAAGCAAATGCCTCTGTAGTAGAAACTTGAGGGTGGGGGGTGGGGAGAAAGAGCCTGAGATGGTCCTGGACATTTATTTCAAAATAAAACACAGCTCAGAGCGCTGTAGGCTTTCACTGCCTGGTCCTCAGGCTGGGTCACTGAGAGGCCCAAGCAAAAGTGCATTAGGTAAATTTGGACCAAGTCAGTAAACAGACAGACAGACAAACCCAAAACTGCCAATGCTCCTCCCCCTCCTCCTCTGTAAATAATAGTTTGCCTTATAATTATATAGGGAGGGGGGAGGGAGCAAGAACCTGGCCCAGCCCGGAGTAATGGCGCCCACGACCCAGCCTCAGATTCTCCCCAAAGAGGGCGACTCATTTTTCTCCAGTCTTTGAAACTGATTTAAGTGGCCCTTTAAAACTGATCTTGTCAGTTTAGCCTATTGAAGGGCAGCCATGCAAACTGTGATCTCTCTGTTCATTTGAGCTGTTTCTGTTCCCCCCTTTTCTTCTCTCTCTTTTTCTCCCACCCCCCCTTCATTTTTTTTCTTAAACCAGGTCCCTCTAAGAAGCACCCCCTCCTTGTTATCTTCAGAAAAACACTTTTCTTTTTCTGATACGTGAAAATACAATAAGTGCCTTTGAAATGAGAGGCTTCTCCGCGGAGGCGGTGCAGGTTGTGACCTGACCTTTCGGGGCTCCCCAGACAAGACTGGGACGAACACATACATATTGTGAATCATTAAAACAGAGGTTTGAAAAGCGCCACCACCACCTCCACCACAAGGACCTGAACACACGTGTGTGTATCCAGGACTAGCTTAGGTGTCTTTGGTCAGGAATTTAAAAATCTGTTTGCGTAAGCCTCCTCTCTGCATGGGTACTGTGTGTCTCCCCCTGAATCAGATAACAGGAACCTTTATCTCTCTGTGAGACATCTGCATTCTCCACGCAGGCCTCCACGTTTTGCAAATAATAATAAACTAAACTGTTACGACAGTAGCAGGAATTGCTTTCCTTGAAAGACCAAGGGTAAGTCTAAGAGCTAACAATGATAACCAAGAAATTTCAGCGCTACCACAGCACCTGGAAGGGAAGGCCGGGTATCAGGTTGTGGGATGGGGTAAGGTTGGCTGTAGGGGAGGGGAGTATCCTGTCTGCACATCTGCATCAGGCAAATGCCGTACATATATGACAGGCCCTCAAGGAAAAAAATCCAGATCCAAGTCTCTGCGTACAGCTTTTCTGTCCAGATACTGCCTTCTAATTGATTACTCTAGGACTTCGAAAGGCAGAATCTGGGGTGGCTGTGGTGGGCGATTTTACACAAAAAGCAGCAATTTATAAAAGACAGCTTAGTTGAGGACTCAAAACCTGGAATAGATTCAGCTAATGACTTGGTTCCCTAGACCTCCTTGAAACAATGAGGCGGCGGCTATGTACCCCCTTTTTGTTTCCCACATAAATTACACATCTCTCCTAGCTTCCTGATTACAGGCTTAAAAAACTGCAGTGGGTGACTAGGTTCCAAGCCCTGCCAACATCCAAATGTTTGTCATTCTTAATCAGGAGCCCCTCTCCCCTCTCAGCCGTGACAAAGGGATCAGCTGACAATTTAGTACAAGACTGTGAAGGGGTGATTTCCACCCACCTGGGCTGTGCTGAACTCAGCCCAGGAGGCAGCCAAGAGGCTCAGGTGTGGCCTGAAGTGGGAAGCCAGACATCTCCAAAAATCATTTAGCCTCAACAATTAATTAATATCAGATGTATTACTCACACAGGTTAAACTACATGCAAACCCATTAGATTTCATAATGCAGTCAATTACGGTTTTATAACTCCAGCAACATTTATATCCAGCCTAAGTTGGCATACACTTTGGGGTGTTTGAAAAATGCCTTAAGTGTTTGCCTGGGCAAGGGAAGCAAGGGGCCAGAGTTTTCAACCCACTACAGCCATTCTGAAGAGTGTCCCTTGCAGACAGCCCCTGCCCCTCTCTTGGCACTCAGCATTATTTTAATAAGGATGCAACTTTGAAAATTGCTGCCCTCGGGTTGGATTGGCCTGCAGCTCCAACTCCCACTGAGTTAACAGGCATGCTTTCCCCCTGCAGGGGCAAACTTTCCCCTTCAGGGAAGATGCCAGGGCTGCTTCAATGCCCAGGAGCTTCTCCTGGAGGGCTAGCCAGGGTGCCAGAGAGAGCCAGAATGTAGAGATGCTTCAAGGCCCAGCTGGTCTAGAGGGCCTGGCCTAAGGGAGGGGAGCAGGAGAATGCAGCCCAGTCTTGCCATTGCAGGAGGGGAAGAAGCCCGGGAGGCTTCCTCAGGGCCCATTTGGGGAGGGGCGTCTGTGTCTGAAGCACCATCCCTGCAGTCTAGCCTTCCTCCCCTCTCCCCAGGACAGGCCTGGTGGGGCCCAGCAGCTGCACAAAGTTCTTACTCTAAGCTGCACTCGATAGTTTGGACTTGCAACGGGGAGGCTGGGCTGGCCCTGGGGACTCCCACATTCTCTGGGCCCTAAGTCAGGGCTAGGAGCCTTAGGCAGGTGGACCAGGGTCTGGCCTCTGGCTCTCGGAGAATGAGAGGGCAGGGCGCCTTCCTACCTGAGGTGAACAGGACTATGGCCTTGAGGCAGCTGTACTCGGCCGAGTCGACGTGCAGTGCCTTGAGCTTCTCCACTTGCTCTTGGAAGATCCGTATGTGGTCCATAAAGGCGACCACCCTGTCGGCGGACATGGGCGAGGCGTGCAGGCCAGCGGCGGCCAGGAGCGGGGCGACGTGGAGGGGCATGGAGCACTGTGCCGCGTTCAGGACGAACAGCTCGCTCCAGGTGAGGCGAAGCAGGGCCACCTGGTCGGTGATCTGCAGGTCGGGGAAGAAGGGGATGTTCCGGGCCCACTCGACGGCGCTGAAGAGCATCCGAGCGGCCAGTTCGCAAATGTTCTCGATGCCCATAATGTTGTTGGGCTGCATGCACTGGCTGCCGAAGCGCGACGTGGGATAGGGCTCGGCGCGCAGCAGCAGGGAAATATATCCGGACAGGTACGAGTGGCAGTTGAGGGGGTCCCCGTTGGTCAGCGCGAACTGCCCGTGAGTCGGCTGGGTGGGCGGCATCCTGCCCCTCTGCACCGCTATGGGGAGGAAAGGAGATACCCCACAGTTAATGACCAGTCTCGGCCTCCAGCTCCCCTGGCGGGGGTCTGCCCCCGCTCAACCCCACCTGCCCCAGGCCCCGCGCCGCGCATGGGCCAGGCGGGCCTTCCCGCTTACAAGCGCGCCTGGGTCACAGCCCTGAGAGTCGCCTGCTCCGCTCTGCTCCAACCGCCACCCAGGCAGGCTCTGGCGGCCGGAGCTGCACACTTGCCTCCGAGGCCCGCTCGGGGCTGGGCCGCTGAGGACCCGGAATTGGCCACTTTGCCTCGGGGTCCCCGGCGCTGTGGGCGGGATGTGGCACTCTGGGACATTTTTCTTCTTTGCTACTAAACAGCTGGTATTTCTTATTGATTGGAGGAGAGGGAGCAGGAGGGGCGAGTCTGGGGGGTTGAGTGAAAACGCTTTTGCAAAAGACACAAAGATTCACCCCAGACCGCCTGTGCCTACCCCGGCACGACTCCCCCCCAGCCCTGCAGCCTCAGTAGCAGCCCCAGACGGGCGGGGAACCCCCTGTGCGAGACGTGAAGAGAGCTGAGGTCTGGCGTCTGCCTAATCAATGTGCTTGGAGGAAGCGAGAGCGAGGAAGAGGGCGGAGAGAGAGAGGCCACCGAGGCGAGAGGAAGCCGAGGAGAGGCCGGGAGGAGGCGGCCAGGGTCGGCGGAACCCGGGCAGTCCCCGAGAGGGCCGGGGAGAGCCAGCGCGCCTCGGACTCGGGCTGTTATCTGACGCCGGACCGGGAGAGTGGCTCGCGCCGAAACACAAAGAAAGCCCGGCGATCGCTCGTCCCAGCCCGGAGCCCGCGCCCGGCGCCGAGCGCGCCATTGGCCGAGCCCGGCTCGCGGCGCTCCGCGAATTTCGATCACAAAGACCCAACTCGCGCGGAGCGAAAGCCGCGCCACCGCGGGCCCCTCGCCCACCCTTTCCCCACTCCCTATCGCGTCCTCTTCCTTTCAAAAGTGAAAGGAAAAAAGCAAATAAAGGTATTTTTTTAAGCAGAATGTTAATCCACTGAGGGTCACATGAGCGCTGCCCGGGCGGCAGCGTTAATACCGCGAAGTGCATAAAATTGCCATTTGTAATTTGAACCTCCTGTACAAAAGTACAATCTCAGGTTGTGGTTTTTTTTTTTTTTTTGAGAGGGTGGGGGCTGGGGAGAGGGGTGGGGAGGAGGGACATATGTTGGACATGCAAGAAAAACAAGCCAAGAGAAAGAGAGAGGTAAATCAGACTTAAAACAAAACCCCCAAACCCCAAACAAACACCACCACCCCATCCCTTGCAGAAAGGCGAACTCCACTGAACTCGTAATCAATGCAGGAAAATGAAAACAACCCAGGGAGAGGGAGAGAGAGAAGAGGAGGAAGAGAAACCAGTCGGCCAAAGCATGCAGATTTGGGGTTCTGGGTTCCAGGGCAGAATTCGCTTCTAGTAGAAACCCCTTTCGGCTGCAATACGAAGAGAAGAGCTTGGGAGTTCTGGTTCCTTACCCACAGCAGGCTAGCCAAACGCACCCAGGGCCCCAGGAACCCGGGCGAAGGGGGGAAGAAATAAGAGGCCGATACCTTCCCGTCTCATGCCCACTTTGAGGCACTTTTTGAGGCGGCAGTACTGACACTGGTTGCGGTGGTGCTGGTCGATGGGACAGTTCCGGTTGGCGCGGCACGTGTAGCTCAGGTTCCTCCGCACGCTGCGCTTGAAGAAGCTCTTGCAGCCCTCGCACGTGAACTGGCCGTAGTGCTTGCCGCTCGACTTGTCCCCGCACACCACGCACTCGATGTGCTGCTGCTGTTGCTGCTTGTCACCTCCCGGGCCACCAGGGCCACCCTGGCCACCCGCCGCCGTCTGGGCCGGCGTGCTAGCCGGGCCCCCTTGGCCGGGCGTCTGTGGCGTGTGCGGGGCGCCGGGCGGCGGGCCGGGCACTGGCGGCGCTTGCGAGGCCTGGCTGCCCTGGGAGCCGGGCACCTCGTCCTGGGGGTCGCGCCACGTGCTGACTACCATTGCCATATCTATGGGGGCCGCGTCCGGACTTCCTGCTCCCCTGGCTGCAGGCGGCGACGGGGCGGCGGCGGCTCCCGGGTCTCGGGCTCCGGCGCGCCGCCTTTTGTGTGTGCGAGGGTGCGAGAGGGCGCAGGAGGGCGCCCCGGGTGGCTCGGGGGCTGGTTGGTTGAGGTTGATTAGTTTTTCCTTTTTTGTTTTTGCTTTTGCAAAGTTTTGTCGATTGCTTGTCTGGCCCGATGTGTTTGTTTTGTTTGTTTCCCTCGGCTCAGCTTTGTTGGTTTCGGGGGGCTTTCCGCCGGGAGGGGAGGGGAAGGGGGCGAGGGAGAGCGAGTGGGAGCAGAGCGTGGAGAGAGAGAGGGAGGGGAGGGAGAGCTGCAAGTCGATTGTCTGGCTTCAAGACAGAAGTAGGAGGCAAAAAAAAAATCTCTCCAAAGCTCTCGCTTGCTTGCTCGCTCTCACTCTCTCCCTCCCTCTCTCGCTCTCAGAGCTGGTGTGCAGCCGAGGAGTTGGAGGAGGAGGAAAAGGAGGAGGAAGAGAAGGAGGAGAGGCGACTGTCCGGGGGCCAAGTCCAGGGCAGCCCACAGTCAGCCATTCAGGAAAGCCATCGAAATCAGGAGGACTAGGAGCGCGGAGGCGCCGGGCGCGGGCGCGCCCAGGAAGCCAGGCAGGCCGGGGCGGAGGCCGGCGGCCCG